CAGACACAGACACAGACACAGACACAGACACAGACACAGACACAGACACAGACACAGACACAGACACAGACACAGACACAGACACAGACACAGACACAGACACAGACACAGACACAGACACAGACACAGACACAGACACAGACACAGGCACAGACACAGACACAGACACAGACACAGACACAGACACAGACACAGACACAGACACAGACACAGACACAGACACAGACTCAGACACAGACACAGACACAGACACAGACTCAGACACAGACACAGACACAGACACAGACACAGACACAGACACAGACACAGACACAGACACAGACACAGACACAGACACAGACACAGACACAGACACAGACACAGACACAGACACAGACACAGACACAGACACAGACACAGACACAGACACAGACACAGACACAGACACAGACACAGACACAGACACAGACACAGACACAGACACAGACACAGACACAGACACAGACACAGACACAGACACAGACACAGACACAGACACAGACACAGACACAGACACAGACACAGACACAGACACAGACACAGACACAGACACAGACACAGACACAGACACAGACACAGACACAGACACAGACACAGACACAGACACAGACAACACAGACACAGACACAGACACAGACACAGACACAGACACAGACACAGACACAGACACAGACACAGACACAGACACAGACACAGACACAGACACAGACACAGACACAGACACAGACACAGACACAGACACAGACACAGACAAAGACACAGACACAGACACAGACACAGACACAGACACAGACACAGACACAGACACAGACACAGACACAGACACACACAGACAGACACAGACACAGACACAGACACAGACACAGACACAGACACAGACACAGACACAGACACAGACACAGACACAGACACAGACACAGACACATGGCTGGCCTTTTGGAAAAATAGATGGAACCAATCTAAACCAGTGCCATTTATTCTTAACCAGGCTCACCTGTGCGTGCGACGCTGGCGGGATCCCCTGACCAAAGGCGCCACAATGCTGAGGCGGTGATTTTCAAGCAGCCTTGACACACTACGAGCATTGCCATTGAAGACGATCCAGACAGGAGTCGAACCTCCATAATTTGTGCTTGTCTGCGTGCAAGCAAAGGGTTTTGTGTGTTGCGCCTTCCAGATACAGTGGTGGCGGCCCTCATTAAATGTCTTAAACCGAGAATTTTTTTGATAAATGACAAGGCCGGCACCAAACAACAAACAACGCACGCACTACACTGTTTTCCCGCCCGGCACACAAGAAGATCCGCGCGCTTCACAGAAAACTCGCACAAAGCGAATCCGCAGCCGCGCCAAAAGGTCCGGAGGATAGGCAAGATCTGCAACTGGTGCCCAAGAGAGCAAGCCATCACCCCAACTCGATACCTCCAAAATCTGAGACACCGGACAGGTGCCGGCAAAAGCTTACGACGCATGGGCCGAACCTCAGCCACCTTCAACAAGGCGCTTCTTGGAGGTTGCGCTGCGCGAAACACGCCCAGTGCCACTCCAAGGCGGATGTTGAATGGTCCTTCCTCATGAATTTTGAGGAAATCCATCCTAGGTCCTCTAGTAGAGAGGTTAGAATAAGGATACCAACTTTTTTTCTGGACGTCTATTTAAGTAGGGGAACCCTCGGGGACCTAGTCATCTGTCCAGCTCTCACCTTTCTCTGTCTTCCGCTTCCGAACGATCTGGGAGTTGATTCATGGGCCCGGAGTGCAACTGACTTGTTGGCGAGCAAACTCGAAAGCACCACCAGCTTGGTGTGTTGCACTAGCTCACTTGCCAAAGGAGTTGGAAATAAAAGATTAACCTTTTGGTACCTCTACTAAAAATGGACCAAAATGGGAAAACCAAAAGGTCAAAAGGTCGATTCGCTTTGGGCAACTAGTTCGGATGGAAGACAGGCTTCCTCAACATGGCCACTGGCAATTTCGGCCAGAGAGCCACACATGCAATGCGAGCCGGCGAGACGAGCTGAGATGGGGGTACGTCAGGACCAATCAGCTGAGACTCAGTTGTTCAGTGACCCTGGAAAAAAAGGGAACCCTTCTTGGGGAAGACCATTTTTAGTGGGGCAGTCACCAAAAAAAAGGGGAAACGAATTGGTGCCACTGAACAACTGAGATGGGGGTACGTCGTTCTGACCAATCTGCAGTCCTTTGAAAGTTGAAAGGATCTTCCTGGGGCCGGTATTGTGGGTGCGTCCTCTGACTTTTGCCTTTTAAATTCGCGAGCCCAATGGTGGGGATCCCAAGCCATTTCTGCAAAGACACGTTGCTTCATGTGGCTGTGGTTGTCAAAAAATAGGGTAACCCCAAAATGGGTTACCCTGGTAAGTGGACACATGGACCAAAACCTGCAGTCCATATCCTTGCGGGTTGATTTTGACCCATACCCATGTCTTACAAGACTGACTTGAAGCCCTTCAAGGCTCGGCCTGCGAACTGCATGGAGGCATTCCCTACCCAAAGGGCCCCATAGTCGGATTCCTCGTCCCGAAAGCATAGCCGTGACCAAAGGGGTTGGGGTACAGGAAATTCGGAACAGGAAAACAGCTGATTTGAGGTGTTTTGGAGCCATTTCCCTTGTGAGTTTCCTGTAACCCAACCCTTTGAACCATAGTTCCAAACCAACCTCCCCAGGCCCAGGGCCCTTTGGTTGACGTTGGAAGGGGAGCAAACAAATATTTGTTTTGCAGTTCAGTGGTTGGATTTCAACCACGAAACCACAATAAGCAAAAATGTAAAATGCTTCCCAATAACAACCATGCTTTATGGTAAGCTCCTTCTATCCCAAAGCAGTCGACCACCCCCTATGCGGTGCAGGCACGCTCGAGCCGAATTCCCTTGCAGATCCCTTGCACTTTACTGAGTGGCCATGGGCCACACACCGCGGGAGATCCGCGAATTACGGCCTCCCTCTTCAGTGCAGGCCTGGCCCTGGCTACGCAAACCCAAAGACCCTTCATCCAGGGGTGCTTGTGTGAACAAGGGGTATGTACTTCCACCCTTAGACTTCAACGTCTCGTTGCCAGTTCATGCGCCTGAACAGTTTGCTGCCTCCCTAACCAGAGCGAATCACTTGTGTGTGTTCATTCTCAATTGTGGTTCTTCACTATCTGAAACAAACAAACAAAAACCCAACACCAACATAAAGACAAAGATAAATACAAATACAAAGACAAACCCGCACAAACATATCCACCGACGCACCCAAAAAAACAAACAAACAATGAATCGAACAAGCGAACAAACAAACAAACAAACAAACAAACAAACAAACAAACAAACAAACAAACAAACAAACAAAGAAACCAACAAGCAAGCAAGCAAACAAGCAAACAAAACATACAATCAAGTACAACAAGCAACCCAAACAAAACAAACAAAACAAACAACACAAACAACACAAATACAACAGACAAAACAAACAAGCAAACACGCAAGCAAGCAAGCAAGCAAGCAAGCAAGCAAGCAAGCAAGCAAGCAAGCAAGCAAACAAACAAACAAACAAACAAACAAGACAGACAGGACAAAAAAGAGCGAGCAAGCAAGCACGCAATCAAGCAATCAAGCAAGCAAGCAAGCAAGCAAGCGAGCGAGCGAGCAAGCCAGCGGACAGGCAGACAGACGGACAGACAGACAAACCGACGGACAGACAGACAGAGACAAACAGACAGAGACAGACACAGACACAGACACAGACACAGACACGGACACGGACACGGACACGAACGGACAGAGACATACGGAG